AATAATTTCAGAACAAGACAATAAAATAATATGTGGTTTTTGAAAACAAAATGTTGTTTTACGTTCGCTAATAACCAAACTTAATTTTGCTTTTATACAAAAACTTGTTCAATAAATACACAAATAAAATAAGTATAACAAAATTATTAATTTAGATTTTAAAACATTTAATTTCAAGTGATGTTATAATATTATTATATACTATTATTTCTTCTCTGTTCTACCTCTATTTTTATGCCAAACAAGTTCAAAATTGTCCAAACTGATGAATAAAGACGCATCCTGTTTTTTAAAGAGACAGTTTTTTGGGTGGCAGCACTGATTCTGTTAATTTGTTCCTGGCAACGCTGGAATTTTTAAGCAAAATTAATGCACACGGTGCTGCCCATTATTGAGAAGCTGTAAGCAAATAAAGGAATCGCCGATAAGTGGCGTGGTGTGCATTATCGGAAACAGCCGCCTTGCTGCTTGCAAATCTCTAGCTGAGTAATGGGTATCTGATATCGACTAAATCGTTTTAATTTTTTTTACTATTGAATCAATGTCTAATTTACCTCTTTAAACTAATTTTTTGAGAATAAATTTATGTCTTTTATTTTATTTGACTTGTGAAAAGTTTTGAGTTTTTTTCAATTTATCAATTTTTATGCGCCCCAAGCGTCTGCTACTTGAACTCCGCTACATGCGGATGGTGTATCCGCTAAGGTTGTGTTAGCTTAGGCCCCGTTTCCACTACAGACGAGACGCACCCAGTTATTACTTATGCGGTTATTCCACAGAAGTGTTCGGCTTATTCACTAGAGCAATTTTTCTTAGACTATCCGATTTTACGCAGGTGAAGGCACATGTTAGCTCTAATCAGCAAATTAACGAGCCAAATTGACATAACCGATAGGCACTTCTGGTATTTTTTCTAGTACTAAAAAATCCCTCGATACTTTAAATATAGCATAATTATCTAAAAGTAGAGCTGCAGTAAAAATGGAATCGAGTATAAAAACTAATCTTATGATCTTTATTTTAATTTTTTTAGATCCTTGCAGCCAACATAGTGCTATAAGCAAGTAAAAACAACAAAGGTAATATTTTAGCGTCATAATTAGTCCGTTGCGACCAACACAGAACACTGCTAATTATAAATAAGGACAAAACTATATGATAATTTCAGAAATACAACTTGAAGCCGTTTTAAAGAAATTACCGCAGGAAAAAAAATAGATAAAAACATTTCCAAGCTTTGTTCAGCACCAACTCTTTTGAAATCGTATTTTTATCTGATTTTACTACTATTAAGTGCCGACAATTTTGTACCTATTTAGAAAAGCTTCGGTCATTAAAATAAGTCAGTTAAAGTTATTTGAGTTATAAAGATTAAGACTACTTTTTTCACGACTGGCAGGAGCTCCTCTTACTTCTGACATGATTACTTTACTAAGGTTAAGGATCCTTGAAAGTTATTTTTAGTTAGGCTGTTCGTCAATTTCCCAAAATGGCCAATCGCAACACTTACATTGTAATATGTACAACTCAAAATAATAATAACTGCTTGTTTTCTAGCCTATTTTAATTTGTATAACGTGCGTACATATGTAAAAGAACTAATTGCAAACGCGTCTTACCCTATGCACACAGCGGATTCTTGTTCACATAGAGAATCGCTGAAGCGAAGAGCTGATCGGCAAAAGCAAACCGACGTGCAAGCTCAGTTGCAAAACAACGCAAAACTAAATACGCTAGCATGTGACAAGTGATTATTTCATTGCTATTGGCAAATTGAAAAAAGGATGAGATTTTGTAAAATTTTTAAGAACCATTGTGGGCCAACAGTAACGCCACGAGAATTTTCACAAGCTAACAACGATCTCCTTCTCAAAAAAATCGAGAAACAAAAAGTACAAAATTGACCTATACTCGCAAAAAATACTGAATTAAACACTGATATACTGAATTGATTCGCATGTGCCGTCCCATTTTCCGCTCAATCGAGTTGAAGGGACATTTTCCCATCTCTGCGTGAATAGACTATTTGTCAATGGTTAGCGATACTTATCGAGTTACCTCTCGAAAAATACCAAATATATTGGGCGTAGTGCATGCGTGCGTGAATCAGTCCGAAGTGGCGTGAGGACTCTGGTCACTCTTTATGGTAGCGCTTCCCTACCTCAGCAACAATGAGTCTCGCCTGTACTGCCGACCACTTGACTCAAGTCACTTGAGACGGAGGTTTAATTTTAAGTATTCAGGAGTGTCAAAGAAATCATCGACGGGTTTGGGGACGGTTGGCTTGGAAGCCAACCAATCATAAAATCTATAGTTTCGGAGCAACTGATCTGATTTTAGAAACATTTTTTTCAAAGCCTATTCTTTGGTTGGTTGCTACGTATTTTAGGACCGGTTTCTGTGACAGCGAGATTTGCTTCTCGGGTGAAATTTGGTTGAAAGAGATTTCTGAGGCAGCCCTACAATGTCCAAAGTAACATAATAATGTAACGTGTGGTGTTATCGAAGAACCTCTGCGGCTTGGTTCTATTAACTCGCTCGCTACATTTCCAATATAAGCTTCTTTCGCTGTGCAGTAGCCGTAGCTTTATTTTCTTTTTTTTTAAGTCTATATATACGAAAACCATGAGCTTGTGTTTTATTTTGAACCAAAAATAATTCTGGAAATAATCAATTCATAAGACCAAGCGGAGAAAAAAATATAAACCTTTCTTTTACGAGGTTGTGGCAAACGACAAATCCTTTACTGACTCGAAATTTTCATTGAATTTGGGAATTGAAGAAGAACATGACTTAAAGCTGCTTTTGAAAGTGTTTTCCATTTGTTGTAATATCCGTCACTTTTTGATGTCTTAAAGTATAAGAGTATGCCCGAGGGATTGGATTCCAGGTCAACCAACTAAAACCATCGGTGTCCCAAAATGTGTCCACATTTTAAGGAAATTTTTTTTTTAAGCCTACTCTTTGGTTAGCTTCTACCTTATTTTGAACCGAGATTTCCTTTATGGGTGAAATTTGATTGGAAGAGATTTCTGTGACACCCCTGATAGTGTCCAAAGAAACATAATACTGTAACTTGTGGTGTTACTTTGTGTGTGAAAAACTTTTGCGGCATGGTTAATTTCCTGTCAATCTTTTTATCTCGCTGGTTATATTTCCGATATTGGCTTCTTTCGCTGTGCAGCTTTCTGCGCAGAAGCAGTAGCTCCAGCACCAGAATTAACTATAGTTTGATCACTAGTGCTAAAGCAGTACTTAAATCCCAGGCCCGTTGCGCTTTATATATATTTATAAATTATTATTGTATACTTATATAAGTTTAGAAAGGTAAAACAAGTACAGGATTTACTTTGAGCTTGTTCAATTGGGCCTATCATTTTAAGTTTTAGAATTTTCTTTATTTGGTCATAATTTTTTTTATCCAAACAGTTTGGCATGTACTTGTTGGCCCGAGATACTTGACTAGTCCGAAAAGTATAATCAAATATTTAATTTAAAATATAACATGCGACAATTAGACTGAGCTCCTGCCGTAGATCTTGCCGTTGCAGCTTCTCTGTAGTACGGTCAGTGGTGATTGAAAAAAAAAATTTTTTTTCTTAAGTCTTGAATAACAGTTATGATAAAAAAATTCTTGTCAACTTTTAGTGTGCTATAAAAAATTACTCAAATAATTTTATTTGACTTCCTATAACAAAAATTTGTTTTAACAAAACTGCAATTTGGAAAAAGAGTACACAAAAAAATAAATTTAAAATATTTTGAGTATGGGGCTCGAAAGATAAGAAGTGACTCTTTTTAAATGCTTTGACGAACTAAAAAATCTAGAATACGTACGTCTGTAATTGCGGTTCAAGAAAAAAAACAAATATCAGCAGTTTGTAAGCTTTAAAATCCTTTTTTCAGAATGCTTGCGTAGGGTAATTTTTTGGCGAACACATTACAAAATGGGGATTCAAAGCAAAATGTCTAGCAACCATCGAAGTAAACAAAAAAAAAAATTTTGTAACACGTGCTAGATATGGTAATTATAATTAAACTAAAACAAGAAAGGAAGCATAATTGACTACGTGGGCATCGATTTACAGAACTTAGTTAAAGGTAAATATTATTTTATCCGTTTGGATTTTTGAACTTATTATTCGAAAATACTACTACATAGCAGCAAAAATAACTAAATACGATGTTTTTTGCGTTAGTACCTCAGTTTATTTTAAATTGCTCCAATTGATTTGTTAGTAATACCATGCTACATGCATTGCGGATGAACTTTGAAAACTTCGGCCACACTACAAAGAATAAGATTTTTCGACTGGTTAAACTCTTAGCCGATCTGAGTACTACTTAAAATTATTTTGAGTATGTGGACCGAATGATTAGGAGTGCCACTTTCCAAATGCTTTGACAAACTAACAAACGAAGAATCCGTTCGTCTGTAATTGCAGTTCAAGAAAAAAAAGCAAATTTCAACACTTTTAGCTTTGAGGTCGTTTTTCTCAGAATCCTTAATTTATTTGTTTGATCTTATGAACTTATTGTTTTTAGTATTACATTAAATAAAACTTTAACCCAGGGTTCGAAAATACTACTATGTAGCAGCCAAAATAACTAATTAAGACGAGTTGAACCATGTTATTACCTCAATTTATCTTTTCAAAATAATTTAAAACCTGCGATATTATAAAAATTGTTGCTGAGGGTGTCTCTGCTATGTCGGGAGGGTGTATCGGCTTAGTGTGGTATAACTCGATTTCAACACATCGATATGAAAATCGATAACATCAAGTCGATTTTGACGGCATACCGTGAAATAGAGCTGCAAAAACATCGATGGTAGCCCCATCAATAGTCTTGATAGTTTGCAGACTAAACCTCGATTCTATCGCGATAGTATCGCTCATATATAAGCATTAGGGGTATTCATGTAAAACCAATATAATAGGGGTATTTTTTAAAATAAATTATTATTTTCAATTATTGACAATTAAAAACGCAATAAGTTTAAATTCAAGTGAGATCTTTTTAATACATATTTATGAGAAATCAAATAACATTTCTTTGGTTCAAAAACCAATTTGGCGGTCTTTCCATCTTTGGTCCTCTCAAAAAGATCCCACATCGAACTTCTAAGCCGGTTGACCTTTTTTAACGACTTTGCTCCTTGCACGTTGCACACGATTTCCACATCCTGCTCCACACCCTGCTTCACATTCTGCTCCTAACCTTGTCTCCACCAATAGTTTCATGAAGAATATATGTGAATTTAAGCTCTTTATATCTTTGCCATTCACTTGCTTTTTGCACCGCCAGCCATTTTTAAGGAACCACAACAACACCGGAACCACCAGAATATGAATATTTCTGTCGAAAACCAAAAAAATGTAGTATATATTACATTTTCCGTATGCAAAATGTGCGTACCTTCTTATTAGTTCGAATTTTTTGTAAAACTGTCGTGATAGTCTGAAAAATATCGAAGTCGGTCACCGGCGGCCAACCATCGATACTATGGATGGTTCCATCGTTTTTTTTGCAGCTCTACCGTGAAATATCGTCAATAACATCGATGCCCGATGTTTCATCACTAGCTTATACTAATACTTAGTTAAACAAATAATATAAAATCGGTCAACCACCCACCCACCAAAAAGGCCGCGCGGCTTCGTTCGCGACGTAACGGTGAAAAGCACGCGTTTTCCGCTTTTCCAGCAGACGTGTGCCAACTCGCTTCGCCCATTTTAAGCAGAGCAGCCGGAAAACACGCGCATATTGTGGAGGCAATGGGAAGCAAAAACATGTGTGCATGTGTGTCGCTGGGATAACGGCGAAAAAAGGCGAAAGAGGAGCTGTGAAATAGCGAAAACTTGAGCTGAGATCTAAAATCGGATCTCAAGTTTGAGGACAAAGATAGAGAGACGAGGAAAAAGCTGCTCTCACACACACACACGTTTAAACGCGTCACACGCTCTCCCGTGTAAAACCAATACAACAACAACATGCAATATTTGCAAAATAGTTAAATAATTCTGCCCTGTCTGCGCTTTATTTCCTTCTTCATTTCGGTTCTTCTCGTTTTTATTTTTTGTATAATTTCAACAAGTTTCTCGCTTTTCCCCACCCACACAATCACAAAGTTATTTTTTCGTTACTACTTCAAAACAACAAAAACACACGGCACGGCACACGAACACTAAGCACCAATACAACACAACGTCTCGTGTGACGTGCGAGCGCAGAAATTGTCGTCTTTAGATTTTGTTTTCGCCATTTCCCTTTGTGTTCCGTTGTGTGCGGAAGAGGAGGGGGCGGAAGGTGGAGAGTGGCCAAGAATCACCTGCGAAAAAGCGGCACGAGATCGCCAGAAAAGCAGAAAATCGCAAGAAGCAAAAGCGACCGGCTCCCCACGAACACACACACATACACATCAAAAGCACACACACACGCAACACTTGTTGCAGCGGAAGACGAGAAGGGGCAGAGAGCGATAAGAAGTGGTGATAAAGGAGGAATACGAGGAGGAGGCGGAGAACAAGTGCCTAAGAAGACAACAACGCGCATCTGCTATCAGCGAATACCACTGCAAACGTAAGCTCACGGATAAAAACGGGGTGAAATAGACCTAGATAATACCCTAAGACTTCCAAATCGGTAGTAATAGATCTAGAAAAAAGGCTATTTATGGGATATATATGTATATCTCCCTTACAGATTAAAAACTATTGGCTAGGGCTAGATATATTCCTACTCTATACCTTTAAGATGTGGAAGTAACCCTTTAAATGGTTATTTCAAACAAATTCCATCCGAGATTACAAACAAATTACGTTTGAGATATCAACGGCACCTCTGTTTACACCCTATGTACCAGACGATCGGCAATAAATGTGTACTTTAAACTATCGCTGTTATCTTCACAAATAACATGTTGGTAATGTAATGGTGTCTAGGACTATCATTTTTATTATCATGCTCTATAAATAGAAAGTATTAACATTGATACTGAAAAATGATTGGTATAAATAAGATAGTTAAGCTTATCATCAAAAAATACATCCGAAAAAATTGTTGGATATGAGAAAATTAAATATCCTAAACGAATCAATAAACTAGAAACGTAGATCTATAGGGTATTTCCAAGGTCTGACAGTGTAAACATAATATTACGTACTTTGTTTGAAAAACAAACTTACTTTCGGCTTTTTAAAAGTTATTTTTCACCAGTTAATTAGATATTGATCAGTTTTTAACTGTGATAAATATTTTGATCAATGATCTTTTGGAGATAAGTCCGCTAATAGTCATGTTCGGTTTATCCTTCTCTTGGCTGTAAAAAGAACACCATAAAGTAGACCATATACCATTCATGGGGGACACAATCGGTAAACGAGTACGACACGCTATTCGCCGTAGAAAGACCGGCTGATATTTGATAAGCCGGACGGACAGGCGGTGCAGTTTGCCGATGGTCCGACAATCGCGGATCTGATAAGAACGGAATCACGATTTTCATGTGCCGCACATTCAAATTAAAGGCGTCAAGCTATAAAATGATATATGAAGAGCTTTAGCATTTATCAGCGATTGTTATTTTTAAACGTGTACATAAGGGGGCAAAATAATGAGAGTTATCAGGAAGGTTTACTTTAGGCCCACTAGTGCGACTATTTTAATTTCGTTATACTGTTTTCCAGATGGTCAAGGAGAAGCCCAACTCTACTCGTATCTACGACAAGGATGGATTTAGGCGACGGGCTGCCTGTATTTGCGTGAAATCTGAAAGCGAGGCGGAGGTAAGTGGAGATTTAATGTCTACTTAAAATAGATTTTTCTAATTTCGCAATTTAACGAAATCAAAATAATTTCCTAAAAGATAAATAATTTTATTGTTAACATTGTTACTTGTACCCAGGTACTCTTGGTAACCTCCTCTCGTCGCCCGGAGCTGTGGATCGTTCCAGGAGGTGGTGTAGAACCCGAAGAAGAGCCTTCGGTGACCGCAGTACGGGAAGTGCTCGAGGAAGCCGGCGTTGTTGGTGATTTGGGTCGCTGTCTGGGTGTTTTCGAGGTTGGTATAAAGAGAAACCGTAATTGATTTACCTTTTTCTCTTCAAAATTCAACTTCATTAGGTCTTTTTCCGTTCAACCCGATTCAATTATGGTCTTTTATTCTAGAACAACGACCACATGCACCGCACCGAGGTGTTCGTCATGAACGTGACCCAGGAATTGGATGAGTGGGAGGATTCGCGGAGCATCGGCCGCAAGCGCCAGTGGTTTACCATCGACGATGCACTGTCGCAGCTGGCGCTGCACAAGCCGACGCAGCAGCACTATCTGATGCAGTTGCAGCACTCGAAGACGCGGGACAACACGAACCGGGTGGTGAACGCCACGCATCCGCCCAAGTTGACCAATGCCGCCACCCCAGCCGCATCGCCCACCACGGCATAAAGACATCAGAATGCAGGAAGCTGAATCCACACATGCACACCACACTTAACCCCGAGTCTAATTCAACACTAACTCTAACCCCATACCGAGAACCATACACATTTTGACATTTTGGAAATTTACAAATAGACAGGCAGTCTTCTAGATTATGTTTATTAAGCGATACTTATGTTACCCCGCATCCCCCACAAAGCCCCATTTGCGTTTATGTTTAAGTCAATACGTTCATTTATGTCTTTAGTAATTGTATCAGAACTAAATTTATGTGTTTACTCCAGAGCGAGTGAAGAAGAGGTGAAGAAAACAAAAACGCTACTCGATCAATGCTAAGCGATAACTTAAATTATTCGAGATCTTTAATACAAAACAGAAGAAAACGAAAAAAACATGTAATAATTTTTGAGCGAATAGCACTTTTTGCAAACACTAAAAAGAAACTAAAACTTAACAAGAAAATCCAAAAGTAAAGATATCTATTAGATTTTTCTACTCTTTTTTATTATTTACTCAAAATGCATCTTAATTGATTATTGTAACAAACAAACCAATTGGAATCGGCTTTAACAAGCGCAAAGGAGATCTAATTAACTATGCTAAGCGGCCTAAACAATAAAACAAAAACTAATTAAGCGATGACTAACGAAGCAAACTCGTTCTGAATCTACATTTTCAAAAAAAAAAACTTGACCTTTGACGAACGGACAGAAGACAGAAATAAATCATTAGAAAACCTTAATATTATTAACAACAGTTGCCTATGCAAGAAGATAAAACCCACTGCAGGGGAAATATAAAGATAAACGTTAACTTATTGTAAAAAACAAAATGCGAAAAATTAGAGAAGCCAGCAAACAACATATTATGAACTAATTCAACTACTAAGATATGTGCACGTTGTACTTTTCAGAAACAAAAAAAATTAACAATAATTACGATTATAATATTAACACACCTAGGAGAGGAGCATGTTTTCAATGTGATTTAAGAGATACAAGATACTTACAAACGAGTTGAACAATTTTATGTGAAATTTTTTCGATAATTTTTTGGCACTTCAAAAGCGCGCAACAAACGAAATTTTAATTCAAGCTCAATGGAAGCAAAGTCTGGCAGTTGAATCTATGATTTCTTCAATCTATCAATTGAACTTTAGTTGCAAACTAAAGCCGACAAACGAACTTTTATCGGAACGCTAAATTATATCACAAATTGTTGCAATTTAACAATGATTTACAACCAATAAAGAAGAAAACACAAAGCTAGTTTAGTTTCGTTCTTGGTGGATTGTGAATATAATTTCAAATTTTGTTCATGATTTAACATTTTCTCGTTTTAAGGATTGTCGTGGAAGGGAACATTTCAGTGAGTTCTGCTGAATGTTGATGTTTTTCAAAACATTTTCTTATATTTTGCTAAATGTTTGACTTGCCGAATACAGTAAACAGTAAATTTAAGTAAACATAAAATTGTAATTCTTAAATGTATTTTATTATGTACATAATTTTGTTATACCTATTTAATCTAAATCTTATATTTATAGACTAGTTCTTCAGCTGGATTCTTTTGAAGGGATGGGACTCGATGTAGGCCAGAGCCTTGAGGATGTAGTCTGGAATAGGAGGTGGCGTGGGGAGATGGGCACCAATGGGACGATATCCGTTCTCATCGGCCGTATACTCCAGCTGGATAGGTGAACCATCGGGAGCCGTATACTTCACTGATCCAGCAGCTTGAACTCCACCCAGACCACTCTCCTGAGCGTCGATTCCGTTGGAGGTTCCGAATTCCCAGCTGTAGGTGCCATCTGGCTTGATCTCATTCAGGTACTTGGTGGTTTGGGATTGGGACTCATCTGCAGCTCGGATGGATGCCACCAGGAACAGGGAAATGATAAGCGCCTTGATTGTGGAAAAAATTGTTGGTTAACTGTTCTTTAAGGACTATCATCGCATCAGACTTACGCTCTTGAACATTTTAGTGCTGATTTTGCTGAAGGTGCTATTGATAACTGATCTCTGAGTTCGACGGCAGGTCGTTTTATACTTCTACCGATCACTGACCTACACCTACAACATCGCCAAACAGGTATCTCTTCGCAGTTCCGAATTATTAATTTAATGCGCTCATCTGAAAATATGAATTTGACCGAGTTTAACGAGCGTTTCTCGCTCAATAGCTCGGTGTGCTGTCGTCTGTTGTTTGTTTTTATTACGGCTTTACTACTTGTTTGCTCTATAACCTCTACCACCTGAATGGGGATCGATAACGCATTCCCTTATCTGCGCCCTAGAAATCACAGATTAACAATCGCGACTTACAGATGCTTCCACAATGGCTCTTTTCTTATCTAATCTTGACTTAAATTCATAATATGTATATAAATTGTAAGCCCAAATTAGAAGTGGAAAAAATACTTAAGCGAATATTGTATACACTTTTGCTGTTTAAAAAGAAATAATGTTAGGGCTTTCGTAGTTTATGAAGTTCCTAATGATAAATTAAAACTGGTAGTATTATAAATCTTATTATATTTTTCGACTACCAAAAAGCCACACCAGTGGATATCCGTACTAGTAACTAACTATGCACAATAATCTATGCATAATATTAATTAAAATTCTGGCTATATTTTGAGCATCCTGGGGATAGACAAACTGTTTTACTGAAACAACCTATATTTTCTTGAAAAGAGTATCAACTTTGGTGGCGCCAAAAAACGTTTTGAGTTGTTACCCGATTAGCGGCTTTTGTTGTTAATGAGATGCAAATGCGAATATGAATGCGAGCAGATGCCAACTTCAGTTGGCGCTTAAATTCGAGCCGAACTTGAAAATTTAACAAAGCACCTGGTGTCATCGTAAGTTTCTTACAACGGCTGCCGATCTCACATAATTAGCAATTTTAATTTATTTAAATTTTTTCGGAAAAGAATTTTTTTATTTTCCGTTTCAAAATGTATTACAAATTTATTGACCTTAGGGTTCTTAATTAGTTCATTGTCAACTAGAATTACACATATAAGGCTATATATCTCAATAAGGAAACACAGTTTATTTTTGTTCAATTCTCTGGTAACCGGAAGACTAAGTTAGTGGGTTATTCGGAACTAAAGAGCGTAGAACATCGTGATCGATGAACAATATGATAGGAATGCCTGAGTGACAGTTTGAACTGTCACCTTTTCAGCGATTTATAATATCAATATACTTCTTTCACAAACGCCACTCCGAAACATCACCTAGCGAAATCGAATACGAACTTATAAACTTGTCTGATTGATTTTCTGATTGGCTTATAAATTGTGGACCACAATGAAAAACAAGGAAGAACGCTATAGTCGAGTACCTCGACTATCAGATACCCGTTACTCAAAGGGAAATGGAGATATGCAAGCAGCAAAGCGAGATTAAAATGCACCACCTACCGGCGGTAGACAGATCTAAGCGTTATGGGCGTTAGAGTGGGCGTGGCAAATTTATTTTTGGATCAATCGATAGGTATTGACGACACCAATACATTTCAGTTAAAATTTTTTATCTAGCATGCAAATTGTGGGCGTCACAGGTTTTCGCGGTTTGTGGGCGTTTAAGTGGGCGTGGCAAACTTTTTTTTAGGTCAATCGATTGGTATTGATGAGACCAATACATTTCAGTTAAAATTTTCTATCTAGCATCAAAACTGTAGGAGTTACAGTTTTGGGCGGTTTGTGGGCGTTAGAGTGGGCGTGGCAGTCTACTGAAACAAACTTGCGCTGCGTAAGAAGCTCAGGAATCTGTACGCCAAATCTCAATAGCCTAGCTCTCATAGTTTCCGAGATCTCAGCGTTCATCCGGACAGACAGACGGACATGGCTAGATCGACTCGGCTAGTGATCCTGATCAAGAATATATATACTTTATGGGGTCGGAAACGCTTCCTTCTGCCTGTTACATACTTTCCGACAAATCTAGTATACCCTTTTACTCTACGAGTAACGGGTATAAAAATCACAAATAACTAATTTTTATATTCCCTGGCTTAAACGGTTAATTGCAAATAAAGGCGTATTAAGGATTTGGCGTTAACCCCCTTTTAGGTTCCAAACGTTGTTTACAAAACCCCCTCAACTAAATTCCGCCAACGCCACTGATAACAATTGCGGTACAATTGAATACCTTTTCCAATTTGGTTTGAGATCTTGGTTAGTACCTAGTTGGGATATTGATGGTTTGCGACCGCGCTTAAATAAAAAATTCGATATATCGATATACTTTTGTGAGTGCCTACCCATCTCTATCACTCCGACAATAATATGAAGTAGAAACAGGAAATTTTCCAAAATTTTGAACGAAAACGACCAGACTCCCGGTTTGGATACAAGCAAAGCTCCCAAGTGACTGTCACACTCTCTTCCCCAAAACAAACGAATCAACATGGTTGTTGGGTGAGTGCGGATGCGATTCTTAAAGCTTACGTAAGCCTAAATGGGGGATACTCTTGGAATCTTTTCCAGATTTCTGCTGCGCGGCGGTCTGCTGGGCGGAGCCGTCTACTACACACGCCAGGTGGGCATCTGGGGCGACTCGGACCAGTCGGACAAGCTCTACAACACCGTGAAGTCGGAACTGTGCCCTTATGTCGAGAAGGCGAAGAAGCAACTGCCCTTCGAGGTGCCGCAGTTGCCCAGAACCGGCGAGATGCGCTTCCTGGCCAAGCACTACTACAACGAGGGCGTGAAGAACACCTTCCGCTTCATCCACATGCTGCCCTGCTACGCGGGCAGGGGTCTTAAGAAGGTCACGGACACGTTCCAGGACTTTGCCAAGTCCCCGGCGATTACCGGCGGTGAGGAGTCCAGTCCGGCGAAGTAACTTAACCAACTGCTCTTCAATGGCAGGCTGTTTTCGTGTTAGCTCATAGTTAGCCTATTGGGTAATGTCGTTGTAATGTGTCGTTATTCCTCGATCCGCCCGTCAGCGGATCCGCGACTTTAGATCTGTTCTCGACGTACTGAAACGCATCGAACTGGAACTTCCAGTTTAGAAATAAACTAATTTACGTGGTAAGCACTAAGATCGCCCTGAAACGTTGATGTATTCATTTGTATGCACGGGAAGAAATTATAGTTTTAAACTCAATAAACTCAGGTAAGAACTGCGAACATTCAGGATGAGCTATTGAATGTCTAAATTGGTTCATGAGGTATAATAAGTTTGTTCTTATAAAGGCTGAAAAGACCGATTATCAACGTTTGATACTAATAAACATATTAAAATGGCTTACCAACTTTTCTGATCAACTTGATGAGTATAAATAAAAGTGTATTCGGTATCTGATCGAATATTATGTCTAATACTAAACCCAGTCGATAAGAACTTTCTATACTCATCTATTGACTTGTGAAAATAGTAGATTATTATGGTTCTATAACAAATTTCTTTTGACTGTTTTAGTGACAATAATCATTAATTATTTTAAAAAACAAATAATTCTAAACATATTCCAAATGTGGTTTATTTCGGTGTAGTCGGCTAACTTTCTGGACAAGTACCTTGCAATTTTTGTGATATGAGCTTCTATATATATCCAACTTAGTTGCTTTTTTTTCTCTGCTAATTTATTTAGATTTTTTCGTCTCCACGTAAGACGTCTGTCACAACACACTCCCCAAACAGAGTGAAAAAGGAAACTGATTTATTAGTTCACTACCGCTCCGGTTTCTGTGTCAGCTCAGATTTAGATCTTGTATTTGGCCTGCTAAAAACTGAACAACCTGTCATGATGTGATGGGATGTTTTGAAGCACGTGAATAAGGTAACTTTCTTTATTTTTCAGATGTCTGGGAGCTAAAATTCTTCCTCACACGCGGGTGATAAATTGCTTTCGATTTCATTTTTACTTTTTGTCTTGTCACTTGGCTGATAACATGAAATTATTGCTGTAAACAAAGCGATGTTCCAGATTGGCAATAACTATAGAAAGATGGCCGACTCTTGTTCATCAGATCGGTGATAAGGCGCTCTGCCACCCGCCAGCGCAGCTCTGACTTTAACTGACTCAGCACGGGATGGTTGACATTTTACAGCAGCTTCCGCTATGCCAGCGCGTTACGCATACGCCCCATTGGCTAGAGCAAATATTAAACATTACTTTGAGACGCGCAGCAAATAAGAAACCACAGACGTCACTGAAGGCGAACGTACGCCACCCAGTGATAACAGTTTAGTGCCTCCATTGGGCTACCAGGAGTTAGAGATAGAGCCACGACAAATATTATTAAAAACCAGTCGAAAAGTACCAAAAGATACCTCTGCCTGACCATTTCGGCTCCTTCAGCTGTCATCGCTTTAAATTTAGACACTCACTTGAGACTTCAAATGGGCTCTGATTATCTCCGCGGTTATACTGCACGTTTTAATTTCGATTATTTGATTGTTTGCCTTTCTATTTATGATATTTGTCGAGTGCCACTGACGCTGGCTTCTATTTACATAGCCCCACCATGTTTTTAATTAATTAAACTTTTTTTCCTTGTTTATTGGATGTGACGACCCAAACACAAGCAACTGTCTACTGCCTGCCAGGGAGCAGATGTTGTCTTGAGATAAAGAATTTACCACCTCAGTCCCCCATTGGATGGCTAGGTGACTCATCTGCTGGTGCGATAAAGCCAGAGATCTCCGATCTCGAAGAATCCCAAAGATCGAAACCCGAATCACGCCATCACGTGCTAACCAGGACTTCATTGCCGCACTTGGATGGCCAATATTTGCGGGTAAACACGAAATCACATTGCCAGCGACCCATAAAATGGGTGCAAATATCAATATAACCTCTAAAATGGCCCTAGCAAGCAACACCTCTGGTTATGGTTATAGGTGTATTCATATACCGTGGCAATGACTCCGGTAAACAGGCGCAAATGGGCCAGGGAAGATACTGATAAGCAAAGGCCAAGTTCTGCTCTTTCTTCGCCAAATTGGCGGAATAGAGCACAAGTGCTTGTTTGCCTTGGCAATGCGAACAATAATTAAATAAGCCTTCTTGTTAAATATTCGCAGATCAAATTTGCTCAGCCACGAGCATTTCATTTAATTAAAGTTCCTAAAATAGCCCCGATAAGAGGTGAGAAACTGAGAGAAGTCCCGCGAGGAATTGACGCAAGTAAAAAAAAATACAAAAATAATTTGAGAAGTGGAGAAAACATTAACTTTTATTGTTCACTTGGGATACACTTAATGTAGTTATAAAGGGAAAATCTAATGGCTTAATGTAGGGAATTTTTTTCTCTAAGGAACCCGAAATACTTAAATGAAAAAGGAAACTTTGGACCTAAAGGGTGGACTCTAAAATTTTATATTCAAGATTTCTTATTTCAAAACGAAACATTTAAGACAAATATGTTGATAGCAAAATAAGTAAGGACTCTATAAAGATTGGTCTTTCCTAATGGCTTAGCTTCATGATAACTTTCACTGACAGATTACAGACAATAATCTTAACGTAACATTAAGAAATCAAACATCACAGCATCCACATTAAGTAATATTGCAAAATGAGGGCTCCCTCGTAACCCACTTGTATTGTACCACTCAAACTGTCTAGCTGATCGTAGATCAGTCCTCTGGCGAATAGCGAATAAATCATTCAAACATAGCCCGCTACAATCACGATCCACTCAGGTTTCAGACTACTGTCTACCAGGCCAACTAATTGTGTTTGACAAAACGATATTAACTCATTGCGCTATTGGCCATTTGTCATCCATTCAATTATTGTCACACTCTCCATTCTGTGTCACGTCGCGGCTTTAGCTTCGCCTTTGCCTTCGTCAGCTCATTATTATTATTAACAATATTATGGGGCGTTAGGGTGTGGGCCTGTTAATTCCGACCTCTGAGCATAATCCCTTGGACTGATCGTTCAACCAGGAGGATCGCATCGCGCATTCTGCTGATAAGACCTGAATAGTTTGTTGTTTGGGGACACTGGGGGGTTTGTTGAACCTGCACCTGCCAAGTGGGATTCGGATTCGTATATAAATTCAGAATCGATCATCTAGCGATGGAGCGGAACACAAATAAGGCCAAGAGCGTGTGCAAACATTACAGGCTTAATTAGAAGCGCGGGTGGTTAGAGTTAGACACTTGGGCAAATAGCCGGGCCATATGACTTCTCATCCACTCGTTACACACTACACCCTCCGAGATATGTATGCTAATGCCTGGAAACAAGACAAGAAATGCTGCTGCCAGTGCCTTCATAAATGTTACGATTATTTATTCTGATTCGGTGCATTTTCCAGTACGACTTCGATACCGGTTTGCTGACAGACGCAACTACGATGCTTCCGATTTGTACACCGCGGAAAACCCAATTTAGCCATGTTACTTGTTCTATTCAGTTACCAATCTAATATATAAAACAATTTCAATTTGAAATGGTATTAGTAGTATGTCTATGGTATATTTTTGGTTTTGTATGTTAAATTTCTTTATTTTTGGGGAACTCAATAATATAAAAGGTGGTATTCCTGAAAACTCACAGGTTTAAACAAATACCTCTATCGATGTTTTTTATATTTTTAATGTAAAAGCGATGAGTTTATTTATAAAATTCCTAAAGGTCCAAGTTATTGAACACAAATACTAAACCAGAAATGCCTTAAAAATATATATATTGTTTTTAGAGTCAGATTATAAAAATTCATTTATCGATATATCATATTGTTTTTTACAAAAAATGTTATAGATTTTCAACAAAAACTAATATTAAATGGCATAGTTTAAAAAATAATTTTTTATTACAGAAATAAGATTAATGTATGTGCCCTATAAAAAATAAAACTAAAAACCCCAAGCACATATGAGAAAAGTCTCTAATGACCACTTTTGGGGACGCTTTTTCTCCGAGTGGCAAACGCACGCGGGTGAGCACATCTAGTATATGGTCTATAGAATGCTTATAAGTGAGGCGATCCGCAATCGACCCTGCGCTATTGCCTTCCAGCTCTTGACCAGCTAACAATATCTACCGCTGCTGCAACTGCTGTCGCCGAGTGGTTCGGTAGTTGAGAGTTGAGAGCAGATATTACCTGGTCTTATCAGGCCCGAAAAAACAGCAGAGGCGAGGGCTATACCGCCCACAAGTCAGTGCGCGTTGGGGCGTCGGCGTCGACAGCAGCAGAGCAGAGCAGAGCAGAGCGGTACCTGGTTCTCCGGCATTTCTGTATTTCTGGGGGGCGCAAACGCAGCGCGATCTCAAACCTCCGACGACCGGAGACCGGAGCGACAGGCACTCGTCCTCGAGAGAGTTGTGGGAAATTCGTAAATAAAATCGCCAGCCGACGTGGATTTGCATTAATTGCAAAGTGAATGTGTGAAGTGAATGTGCTAGGAGATCGTGTGAAACATGAGCATATAATTTGACAAGCCAGAAAAATCGAATCATTTCGCTTGCGGCCACGAAAGGCAATAGTTGCAGATCTCCCTCAAATCAAGTAAAAGCATTTAATCTTAGAACAGACCTGTAAAATGAAGAACCTGAGACAAGTTTTGTGGATTACACTGATCTTCAGCTGCAGCATCCGAGCTTCAGTGGGGTAAGTTTTAACCAGAAATGGCCGGGAAACACCCAGACCAAAAAACATCTGATAAATCATCATTCAAATGAACAATTCTGGTATCTTCAGCTGTCGCCTGATAAAGATACTTCTTTGCAGAACTGTCTATATTTAGCTTTTATTGTGCTACTTCTTTTTTGCCATCGCGCGACCTAAGTAACTTCCAAACCAGACATCTTTGTTTTTGTTATGCTATTCTATAATAAGCCATATTTTGCTTAAGTTTGATAAGGGTACTTGATGTGGCTTAAAATTAAAAACAAAACAAAAGATCACGACAGATATAGTGAAAATGAATAAACAATATTTGGTCGAAAATTACCAACCAGATTATTTTGGTAGGGGCACTTTAAAAAGGTTGTCTGATATGAGACCAAAAGATGTACAAGAGAAAATGTTTACATGGAATCTGATAAGAGCGGGGTTACGCATAAAAGAATTTGGTAACTTTGCTTTTAACATTTCCTGTCTTGGGAAATTTCACATGGGTCTTCATGGGTTTTTTTATATTTTATGCTATAGGAATTCCCCCAAGCCATTGATAAATCTCTACCAATTTGCGTAAATAAATCCCCAGATTAGAATTTAATTAAGATCTAGAATGCGCAGTAAGAAACGCACCGAAAAATATTTACAGTCGGCTTTTGTTCTTTGATGTGCGAAAAAGGTCGCAAAATTTCTTATCGGATAAGTTCAAGATCTAAGCGCTTTATCAATAGGGCTATAATTGGTTTTCCGTCTGGGACCAGGTCAACTGGATTAATTGAATTAAACACATTTTGTTGTTGCGCAAGCAAACGAATACGATGAAAATATAGAAAATAAAAATAAAACTCAAGTTAAATAACGAGTGCCATATGAGAAGACAAATATTTTGCTATTATTTATTTTTATTCAGCCATTTATTCTGCTGTTTGACATTTTAAGGTAGCTGCAAATGAGCTTGCACAGCTGTTAGGTGCTCAGTCAGGCAAACTCCGTAAAAAGAAGGTGTAAGCCTAGAAAAATCATCTCAAGTGCTATCTGGAAATGGGCCCGTAAATCCATATATTTTCAAAGAGTTAATAGAAATTAACGCAAAAATAGTAAACAACTTTTAACGATCTGCTCAATATTTTAAATGAGAGCCGGTTTGCATTTAAATATGAATCATTGCATCAGAAGGTGGAGATTGTTATTATATGTGGGCAATTTTTACTGGTTTACTTGGTCTTCCTTTTTGTAAGCTTTTTAAATCATTATAAGGCTTTTACGAACTATAGCCATATTTCTTACTGCACGTACAGTAGCCCTTTATGCAGGTTGTTACTTTTATAATTTATGGTATATTTAAAAATTGATTACCTTTGTACAAAATATGTGTACTTAATTTAAGGGTTCCACTTTTTCTGACTTTTGCAATGCGTACATTCTTTGTTATGCAATTTGTATTTAAAATTTGGTGCATTTTTCACGAGTTCAGTAATAATTGGCAGCTCAGATCTATTGGGTATTTTGAGAATACCTGATGTAAATAGAAAACTTACAACTTGCTTAAGTAGAAGCAAGAAAAGTGACTTATTCGCTTGCAGGTTTTAGATATACTTTATTCAAATTTTAAATAAGTAAAGAGTGAAAATTTCTCTTGATAAGATTTTATAGGATGAATAATATTATTATTATAAGGAATATTTTTCTTTTCAATATTTTAGAGCCACTAGTGACCAGGGTGAAGATGAGGATTGTCCATCTTTGGCAAATGCGACGACCTTGCAACAAACCCAACTCATCCAGCGATTAACTCATGTCTGCCGCTATGATCGACTTGAGAGGCCAATTGGTAGGGTTTTGATGATATCATATGAAAGAACTTCATTTTAATAATAAATCCCCCGCAGAATACGACCCTGTGACCTCAAAACGCCTGCCCATCGTGGTGAAGACTCGAATTTACGTATACTTCCTGCAGAATCTCAACTCCGACCTGCTGCAGTTCAAAATGCATGCCCTCCTGCAGTTGCGATTCCAGGACATGAGGCTGGCGTACAATGTCTATAAGCGCGAAGGCAACATCATGGGGCAGAAGCACCTCAGCGAGCGCCTCTGGCTGCCGCACATCTTCTTCGCCAACGAACGAGAGTCCAGCATCCTGGGCACGGACGAGAAGGACGTCCTGACCTCCCTCACTCCGGAGGGCAACGTGATCATCTCCACCCGCATGCAGGCCAGTCTGTACTGCTGGATGGACTTCCAGAAGTTCCCCTTCGATCAGCAGTTCTGCTCCACCATACTTGAGAGCTGTGAGGAATTCAAACTTTTGTAAGGATTTTCAAGATATTAATATAGTTTCTGTATGGCTTTCAGGGATGTACAACACTTCCGACTTGGTTCTGGAATGGGAGCAGGATAAGCCCATCTCCTTTGATCCCGACATGAGACTCACTGAGTACAATATGGCCAACTACTTTCATAATACCACGCTGGTGGAGGCGGATGGAATTAATCTGCGCCATGGAGCATTCAGTAAGTCTAGGAAAATTGACTTTTTAAGGACTTCCTCTAATCATGGATATCTTACAGCGGGTACCTACAGTTCCCTAAGCTTCACAGTCAATCTTAAGCGAGAAATCGGCTTCTATCTACTGGACTACTATGTGCCCTCCATGATGATCGTGGCCATATCTTGGGTGTCCTTCTGGCTCCAGGCGGATGCCTCTCCTCCACGGATTATGTTGGGTAAGTTTTTGACTGGTTTCTATTAAAAAACAAGAGTTTCGAGTTCAGAGTTCAAATTAATAATAATTAAAATAAAACCTTTAACACTTTTTGATTTATTTGATTCATTTTTAAACCAATCTCTGCTATATTTATTTATTAGCAAACTTAGATTACACAATTTTCGGACATGAACATGCTTATTATTAATATAAAAAGTAAAAAAGTTTTATGGGCCAATTAATCTCAAAAAAGCAACCTCTTTGGACTCAATTTTCTACTATAAAACTAATTTTTTCCGGTTACCTTACATTCTTCCCATTTAGGAACCAGCACCATGCTGTCGTTCATCACTCTTTCCTCATCGCAGAGCAAGAATCTGCCCAAGGTGAGCTACATAAAGGTGTCGGAGGTGTGGTTCTTGGGCTGCACCTTCTTTATCTTCGGCAGCCTGGTGGAGTTCGCCTTCGTCAATACGATTTGGCGTCGCAAGGAGAACATTGAGTTGAAGAAGGTCAACAGCAAGTATATCATAAAGTCAACTCTGACCCCTCGACCTGCTCGACGTCAAATTGGCGGAAGTTTGAGCAACGACTCCAGAGCAAGATCCTGCTCCAGTTTAGACAACATTGTGTCCAGCACGGAGAGCGTTCGCAATGGCAATGGCACTGTGAATCCGGGATTCAACAACTACCTGACAGTACATGTAAGTATTCAGGGAAGATCTTCCATCCCACATAAATGTTTTAATTTTTAAAAACCCTATTCACAGCCCAACTTACCCATCATCAAGACCGAGTGCGCCGATACCGCTTCCATCTGCAGTGACCGGACCAACAACGATCACATCGTGGATGTGGACAAGGACAAGAAGGACACGCCGCCCACATTCACCACCATGACCCCGCAGGAAATCGCCATGTGGATCGATCGACGATCTCGATTCCTCTTCCCAGCCATGTTTTTGGCCTTCAACGCCTTGTATTGGACCTTTGTCTATGTTTTGTAAGCGGAGTTAGCCGCTCTTAATGTGAAATCTTGTCTATTTGTGTAGTCCTGCTCGCGCAAATAATTGTTATATTGTAAGATGCATCATCTCATAGCTGTACAAATGTTAATCATTAATAAAGCAAAATCAATATTTATCCAAAATGTATTTTTTTAATACCATTATAAAGATGAAGACACAGTGTAGCAATCGAATTCGTTCACAAGCCGTAAATTGTATTTTTAAATATTTAAAACAAATGTCAATAAAAACCTGACAACATAAAAAGTAGCCACAGATTTTACATTTTCATGTGGCTTGTTGGAAATTTTAAATATTTATCTCCAGTATTGTTCTTTTCTTTAACGAAATTCAAGTTTTCTCGCCTTTTCACTACTAATATTGCTATAACTGCTACGGTAAGTTTTACCAGAAAACCAAAGGGTTTATATTGACTAAAAAAATTGGTTTGATTTCAACGATCCAAAAAGCCAATTTTTTCCGTTAACACAATTTTTTAATTTAAAAATCGATTAATCGATTGAATAGTACATTTACGGAAAGTCGCATGTCCCCGCTAAAAGTCTACAAAAGTTCTCCTAGCGGCTGTGAGCCCCACTAAGCGTGTATCCAGGTTAACAACCATCGAATTTTGGCAAATTAGTGACAGTTTTCAAAAATAAAGCCTGGCCCTTTGGTATAATCTAGCGGTCCATCTACGGTCACACTGGTCGAGAGGAGGAAAAAATTTGCAGCGTAAAAGTCGAATTTCAAGGTAAATTTGGCATCATAATTCGTGCAATGACAGGTGCTGGCTCTAAAAATATGCACAATTATGGGCTGCCAAAAGTGCAGAGATCGCGCCCAGCAGCAGACGTACTCGGCCGCCTTTTGCCGCGGAGCAGTGCGAGAATTACATAACCTCTGGTCCCCAGTGCCATAATGTTTATAATAACGATCTGTGTCTTCATCCAAATCCTGGTGCACTTCCTGTGCGGTTGCTAATCGAAGGTATGCTTTCTCCCTCGCCCGCAGCCCCCGAAACATGCGTCTGTCCTCGATCCTGAATGGCCAGCACTTTGGCAACCTGGCCAAGGTGCACGGCATCGTCACCTACAAGCTCTCCCCCTTCGAGCAGCGAGCCTTCGCCGGAGCGATCAGCAAGGGTCTGCCCAACATGGTGCGTCGCTTCCGCTCCAACGTCTTCATCGTGGCGCCCCGTGAGTATACCTCTGTATATCCCCCGGAAATCCCCATAATAATCCTCCTCTTCCTTAGCCTTCATCGTCGGCTACCTGATCTACGATCTGACCGAGCGCCAGCACACCGCCCTGCTGCGCAAGAACCCCGCTGACTTTGCCAACGACGAATAAGCGCCCCAACTAGCAAATAGTTATGTTAAACTAATTAATAAAACTAGACCCACAGTTCAAGAGAGTGGTGTGTTTCGGTTGCTGGAAGGCTAAACTACAATGCGTGTGTTCAGGAGGTTCAAGAGGCTGACAAATAGTTTCTTCTGTGCTATTTATGAATTTTATTTCTTAATTGTTCCAGGAGGAATTTGTTTTTTAAACCATCAGCTGTTTAAACGCTTTTTGGTTTGAAACCCAGCTAAATCTCCAAGCTCTCCAAATTAGGATCAACCTCCTGTTAGCGTTATTAAGGGGGATTCCCCTGTCCATATCTCAAGTGTTTCTATAAAAAAAAGTGGACTAAGTGTAGACTAGTCTGGGAAAAATAACTTTAACAATGGTTTTATTTTAGAAGATCCCATGATATGATAAAATGACATCCCAAAATTACAGTATTTTGCGTTTTTTCAATAACTCTGACATGAGTTGACTCAATTCGTAACAAGTACCCCAAAATACAAGGATTCCGAAAATATATCTGTATAAATATAAGGAGCTGCGGACTTTTTGGAAGAACTGTCAGAAATTCCACTGATTTATGGAGGTACGCTTCTTAAAGAATAATGAAAAAAAATGCTAGCCGTATGATATTGCAAATAGTTTGCATATATTTTCCATTAATAAATGGTTCTATCAGGTACAGTATATATTACCATTCTGTGTTAATAACCGATTTGCGATTACAAGCATTATTGTAAGTACCAACTTCTTTCTTTATTGAAAAATTTAACTGTTAACGGCGGTTATCAAACAGCGCTACCATATCTTTGTTAAGCAAAGTCATCCACCTGTAGAGAGTTGCCACATGAGTAGAGCAATAATCGAATAATATAAAACCAGAAAGTCCCACCTCTAGTACCCCCGACCAGCTGATCGCAATCCAAACAAAATTTGCGTTGTAACAAAAAAAATAGTTATTAACCTTTACTTAATGGACTGCTGCGGCAACGAAGTGCGCAGCGAGAGTATCTACAACATGCTGCAGGCCCTGGTCGACTCGAAGGTGGTCAACGTGCAGCTCCTGTCGATTGCCGTGGGCATTTTCTTCGTGGTCCTGCTGCTGAAAAACAATTTTCGCAGCTTTTCTGGCACGTAAATGGAGCCAGTTTAGTGTTTAATGTATCCCATAATGTAATGTACGCTAAGGACTAATAATAACAACATTCACTTCAAGCCACTTGACCTTTGTTTCAGTTCTGTTCTTTTCGGAGCACCCCTCGCAGCGGTGACGTCACGTGCGATATATGTGTAATTTTTAGGTACTAGCACCTGTATATTTTTCGAGTCTCAGGGTCGTCGGTTTATTTCGGAGGTGTTTTGTTTGCACAATAACACGCCCAACGCATTATAATTGTTTCCGAAGGCCAGCTGAACTGGTTTGACTACACCCGAAACTTCTATGGAACATGCTAAGCAAAAAAATGAAATTGATCCAGCCCAGAATTGGTTAATTTCATCATTAGGCGACTGTGATTCATGGCAGCCCGTCTTGCGATAAGATAGCCCCTTGCAAATACTCGAAGTAAGTGCTACTTGGAACCGGCTTTGTCATCCGAAGAGCTGCTGAACTTTTGGCCCAATTGCCCGAGGAGAAGTACGGCGAAGCCATATCCAATCAGTCCCAATTGCTATCCACAAACGATTTCAATTGACCGGCGATTGATTGCCCAATGTCTGCACGCACTTCCTGGTGCAGCATTAGAATTCAATAGACGCCCGACTCGAGTTCAGCGGGCTTCATTCTGCAATCCCGCATTGACTCATTGCCCAACAGTTGCAGTATTTATGCAATGCCGTGGTACGTGCTCTTATGCTGAAATATTGCATTAGAACACCCAGCAAACGTGACTGGCTTACAGGGCTAGAAATCGAGGCACTTGCTTAGAGCCCAAAGGTAAACCATCCATTAACTAGACTTGATAAAGCCTCGTATAATAAATTTTAATAATAGTAATTTATTTGTCCAACTGTTCTTGTAGGGCTAAGCTATTGCCGATATCTGGTTTTGATATAATATACCTTTAATATACCTAAACAAATAATGCTAGTCAAAGATTATCTTCACCAACTAAAGGCAAAAATCTCTGTAAAAAATATAGCTATAACTCTTATTGACCATCCTTAATATTTTGAACAAACCAAAGTAAAGTATACTTTCATTTTGGTAGTATCTCACACTTTAAGGAAAGGCGGGCTTACAAAAATTGCTAGGATCAAGTCATGAAAAAATACACAATTTTAAGGAAATCTAAATAAACTTAAGCAAATTTAAAAGCCATGCATTTTTTCTTAGTCTCCATTCATCACGTCATTAGGTGTAGTCAACTTGCTCACTATTGGAAAGTCCAACGCAATTGCTTAACTCACAAAATAAATCAAAATAAAGCCATCCATTAAGCCAGATCATTAACCCGATTGTTCTTTACTGCTGAATGGATATTCCAAAAGCTTGTCAATGAACTTGTTAAACGGGGAGTTTCCTGGAACTCCGCCGCCAATCGAAGTCGAAGTGCTGACTGAAGTTCCGTTTGGTTCATTTACCCACCGACTGTTTATATAAGCGATATTTATTTCTGTTACAAAAGTATTCAATTACAAAAAAAATTTTGCGATGAGGTGCTCTAAGATAAGCACTATGATAGTCAAACTGAAATTTTGGATATGGAATCAGCTTGGTACAACGTCAGGACATCGGATCCTGGTCCGTATTTATTGGTCGTCAGTTAGGGGCTCCTGGCTGTTACATTTTTTCTTTAGCGCCGAGCAGAGGCAGTAGAAGTTGTCCCGCCTACGCTTGGCAGACTTGCGATTCTCCTTAGGAACTGGTGGCTCCTTAGGAACTGATGGCTCCTTAGGAACTGGTGGCTCATTAAGAACTGGTGGCTCATTAGGAACTGGTGGCTCCTTAGGATCGATGGTATCAGCCCCAACCTCTTCGCAGAAATGGACCCTATGATGATGGCCTTGCTTGCTGCGCTTCTTGTCATCAAACAGCTTCTGGAGACCCGCCATGACGCTCATCATCTCCTCCTGCTGGGCCTCGTACTTGGAAATAATAGTGTTCCGGCGTTCCAGCTTTGCGCTGAGAAAGCCCACCTCCTTCTGCAGGCGGTCCAACTCGCCGGCTTTCTCGGCAATGGTCTTCACCTCATGGCGCACTCTCTTGAGCTCCTTTTCGACCAGCTCGGCATTCTGGCGGACATCGAACATCCGCTTCTGGTACTTGGTACGCGTTTCGTTGATCTGATTCTCCAGGAAGGAAATGTACATCTCCTGCTTCACCACATGCTCGTCCAGCTTCTCCAGCTTCTGATTCAACACGTTGCGCTGATCTTCTCCGCCGCTCTCCCGCTCAGCCCGCTCGGCGGACAGCTTGTTCTGCAGCTCCTGGATCTCCTGCTCCAGACGCGCCTGCATTACCGCCTGGTTCTGGCGGTTTTTACGGTTCTGACTCTGCTTGCAGCGCAGGGTGGCCACCTCGCGACGCAGGAGGACCACCTCGTGTTCCAAACGGGCCTTCGCCCGATCGTGGATCGGCATTGGTAATGAAAATGGGTGGGGGCAGGATAATTTGGAATAACTATTTTCCGGCGATTCTAATTTCGGCAGTCCAGAACACACGGCTTGTCTATTGTCAAATGAACTAAGGCACCGGGATTTTGAAGGTATTCAGATAAGGGTCTGTGATTGACTACTAAGTCATGGCAAACAAAATTAAATAATAATTGTAGTCTCTTGGTTTGATACTTTAAAAGTTATTATTATTATAATTTTTTTTTCAAGCATCCTTCCCCTTTGTCTTTATAAAAATTATGGCTACGCCTTTTGCCTGTATAATAATATAATACTTTATTGGTACAATTATAGAGATTTCTAGCCCTGAATTAAAGTCGGAACTGGTCAGAAGATCTAATGAAAAGATAATGTACACACAGGAATACAGTTCACAACCTATTCCTGTAGGTACGCATTTTTTCATTAGGGCTTCTGGACGGATGTGAAATGGCTTTAGAGTTGAGGAAGTTGATGAGCACTTGGTTAGACACGGATTGTGGCTTGACTCTGAGGTCGCACTTCTGCAACTTCTCCACGGCACTGGACATGTTCTGGTAGTGATCGCCGATCCGCTGGGCCCGATCCTGACGCACACTGGTTAGCAGCTTTTGCAGGTGGGTCTCCAGCATGGAGGCATTGTTCTTGATGGTGGACACCTGCCGCTCATAGTGGACCTTTATTCGCTGCATTTCTCGCTTCTGCTTCTCGATGCGCCGAGCCTGCAACAGGATTATATCGGCCAAGGTTTGCCGATCGGTGTGGTACTTCTCCGTCTTATAATCCCGCTGCACCAGGGCACTCAAGTCCTCCTCAGACATCAGGATTCCTTTCTTTTTCAAACTCGTGTGGCTCAAATTTCGACTGGCCATTTGTAATGATTGCAATGGTTTTCTGGATGGTTTCACATTCGATTTTTGTCTCTTTTGGGGCGTTTCGAGTACTCCTCGAGAATATTGCCCTTCATTCTGCATCCTCGACATTCCGTCGTTGGATATCCTCACGCCCCTGGTCATTCTAAACGATAATTTTGTAACTCTTGGATTCCGCTTTGATTCCCAATTTTATTCAAAGAACTCTGTTTAAATTTTGTCGATTAAGTGAAGGCAAACGTTGTTTCCAGAAGTAAAGATATTATAAAAGAATATTCGATTTTTAAGACCTGAGTTGTAGAATATTTTAATAAAATATTTGTTTTTAAAAGTTAAAAAAACAAATTTTTGGCCTAAATAAAAAATTTCCCATCAATTTTAAAATACCTATCTACACAATTTTCTGAGTGCTACAAATTCTTTTGAAAGTGAGAAAATTAACAACTTTTACCTTTTCTTCAAACGGGTACTACCCAAATAATTTCAGTTATTAAAAATTACTTAAAAACCACACAAAATTACAGCAATTTGATAAACTCAGGTTCAAGGTGGACTAAATGTTGCCAAAGTCTGTGAGAGTTTTTACAATGTATGAGTTGTACCGGACTTGAAGCTGTCACGCCCTCTACGTCATTGGAGGATGGAAGCGAATAACACAAGCGCACAAACTGGGACTATAACCACGTATATACCCTTTAACTTTTTTGTTATTAATCAATATGATTTAACTTCTGGAGACCCTAAACACCTTAATATTAAATAATATATGCATACTTATGGATTATTTTAAAGACTCTATTCAAGCTTATTTGGGAAACAAAAACGTATCTACAGGGTTTCCCCAAAGTTTTTCAAATTTACTCTACTGTTATTTGATAGAAAGAGTGACGCAGTATCGGCCAATTTAACAGGGGTTTTTCGAGTCTTTTTTTTTGTTTGTAAAGCATAATTTGTATTTTCGGCTCCGCGATGCCGCACACTTGATAAGGGTTATCGATGTGCCCATGGATATGGGATATGCATGCATTATGTGCGGTTGATCATTATTTGCTTTCTTGTCCACTGCCTGTGGATCGCTTTCGCAAGTGGTAATTCATTTGGCAGCGCTTTGCGAAATGCATGTGCCCAGGAAGCGGATTTTGGATGGTTTTCGGGGTGTGGAAGATGGATGGTTGCCTCCATAAAAGAAATATTAATATCCTGAATGCTCATAAATTTGAAATACCCTCGTATCCCATAACTCAAGCTACTTCCTCGACCCATTTGATTCGGAGTCCTTTATGCCATGGTCTGGTCTTTCATGTCACCATCACCATCACTTGCCTCTGGGTTTCTATGCCTCTTTTTGCGCCAGTATATCTGTTAATATGACAAAGTTGTTCCCACTTATGCAATTTCCATAAATTCAAGGTCAGCTGTACAATAAACGTCCAGACAGCAGATACTATATACTCACCAACACACGTAGACAGACGTCTGGCTACTTTTTTCGGCATCCAACAGATTGAGGCTAGAGACGGGGAGTGAAGGAGAGGCAGAGGAGGGTCTTAAAGTTCCAAGCGAATTTTCGCCAGAGATGCGCGAAAAGCTCTAGGCGCAATGTACAAAAATAATTGTGATAGTGTCACGATTTTGTGGAGATAAATTTAAGATGTATTTCTACTATACGTTCAGAACAATGTTAGTGATGATTAGACCTCGGCAAAACACTATTCTTATCTTCTATTCAAAGCATGCTTACCAAATAAGATATTATTTTGTAAAATCACACTTTGGTTAAACTGAAATCGAAATATGCATTTATCAAATTTCGCTTAGATTCTAATATTTAGAATAATGGCTGAATTGCTCTTCATTGACACAAATAAAGTATATTAAACTCAAAAACCTCTGAAGAAATTAAAAGCATTTGTTAAAAAATAAGTTGCTCCCAAATTATGAGTAATAATAATATAAAATAGTCAGTGATTGGATCTGTTGATATGGTATTTAGAACTGTGGTTAAGGTCTAAAGGCCTGGAACTGATAATTGATAGAATAGTATATTTATCATAAATTAATTTTGTCGGTTGAATTTCCACAACATTTACTTGATATATTTTCAAGTATTATATGGAATATTTATGAAAATATTTTCTCGCCGAACAAGGGATACAAAAACAATGTGAATGTTCAAAGAAGAAACAAGTCATCTTGATCACGAAAACATATACATCATAGATCTTCTAGTAACGATTATAATAATATCGATGGACATCGAAAATTTTGACCTTTGGTTAAAAAAATTTGTTAAGTCTCTATAATGTAAAATTTAAATCCGATCTTAGTTACAGTTTTTCTTTAATCATGACCACCGCAAAAGCATTTTTCGAAAAGCAAAGTTACAAAATAATCGCGTTCAAAGTTTCATCGGCCTAAAGCCAGTCTGAATGGAGTGCTCTACATATATGTATCTAAAACTAAGGCTTTAATGCTCTGATCACTATTAAATGATGTGAGAATATTCCTAAAACTATATTAAAGTCCCAATATATATAACACCTTAAACAAGTACCTATCATAAGTCTATAGTTCTGATTGCATAAATTAATTGTGTCTTTTATTTACCATAAAAGTATACATCGCTAGCTACTTATTGCCAGCTCTATAAATTCAGCTTACTCTACATACATACATACATACGGCTTAGAGGGTAAAACCTGGGCAATCCCCGTCCCCTTTGCACATGCCGAAAAATGATATCAAAATGCGAAATCAAAACAAAGACCCAGAATTTCGGCAGACTAACCCAAACAACATAAAAAAAGGTCAGAACTTGACTAAGATCTAACAAAAAAACACACAAAGGGACCACGAAAAGCAGACAGGGAGCAGACGGGCGAACCCCAAATTCAAAACAGAAGCCCAAAGGGCTTTTTCCCGTCCCGCTCTCTCATGAGCCCCTCAAAAGCGTAGACTTCAGCTAGACGAAATTTGAGATATTTAAAGGACGATGAGAAGGCAATCGAAAGGTAGAGATGCTGTCAAGTGCCGAAGTGAAGAAGACCAGACAGTATTCGTTGGATTCGTTTGAATTGTTCTATCAATTTCAGTTTAATTGCACTTAATTTGAATTGCAGACATAAAAATCAGGTTTTGTTTATTTCTTTTTCGGTTTTGCAGCTTGATTTAATTTGTTCGATAGACGTCGAAAAAGCGAAGGAGATATTGCGCAATTTGGTCACCCTGAGAGCAAAAATCAAATGCAGCTGGAAAGTCAAATAAAAGTGAATTGATTTATGGTGTTGTTGTTTGCTTGTGGATCTGTAATATTTAGGTTTCCTAGCAGAATGTGCCGTCACTCCAATAAATTATAAATTTGATTTATAGTGTTGTTTTTAGGTACTATTAAAATTTTTGTGAGCTTAAACAGTTTAGTATCTGCTAGTGATATTGCATCTAGAGTTCTAGCAACCCATTTGAATATCATCTACAAACAAAAGTTTCCGCTGGATTTTTGGCACAGTTTTTTTGCCCGTTTTTGTATACCACCCCAAGGATTAAACACTTGCGCATAAATCTGCAGAGCAATCAGCATAGAGCTATAGCTTTAGACAAGAATCAAAACATATGAAATATGCAACAGGCCAGACACTTGGGTTCGGAAATTTGTTTTGCAAATTCCAAGGGTTTTTTTGGCGACAAATTTCAATTCAAAATCGAGCACAGACATCCGTTCTGCGCCAGGCTAAGTGCAAACCGACGATATAACAGCTATAAAGCAAGATATCATAAGATACTGGAGGGATAAAATCGAACCTTAAGAACCATAACTTACCAAAGGCAAACTTCGATTTCCGACAAGGGAACTCCAGCTCCAGCTCCTTCTGCTTACCCGAAATTTGATTCTGACTCTGAGTTATTAAAAACTGCACAGCAACAATGAGTAAGGGAAACAAACACAAAGTTTGTTATGTTATGTTGCGCATGCGCAGCCCAGCAACGCCCTCAAACTCAGGGACTCGGATTCGGACTCATATGGGGACTGGGAGGTAGACCTGGGGGGCAGGAGGAGTGTGGGTATCCGTACAATGTTATTGACCCGTCCCAACGATCCGTTAGCAATCCTCCGCCCCAATGCTCCGCCCTGCCGCACAAATTCTTATTAAGATCAATCAGCTAAATGTCGGTTTTATGCTTAATGCTCATGATTCACACGGGCAGAGAAGTCCAGGAATCGAAAATGCATATGGCAGCTCACACTCGGAAGGGATACGAATTTTTACTCATCATAACACACTCGGAAATACTCTTATATATACATCTATAGTCGGAAAATGAATGTGGGGTGTAATTTAGAAGTCTTTGTAGTGCAAATGAGCACCATATGTTAGTCCAATTTGCAATTCATTGGGTATTTTTGGACAGCTTTTAAAAGAGTTTGAGATCTGTTAATATGGATTGCAACCTTTATAAAATGTTGTTTTGTGGTGTAGATACATTTTAATAAAGGTTTTTAAGATACAAATACATTTTGTTTTTATTTTACCTTAGTTCTATTTATACCTACATATAATAAATAAGTACAATTCTTGTAAATTTCAGGTAATTTTTAATTTTAAAATGTTTTTTTTATTAATGCTTAGAGTAGACCCCTCTGCATCCTAATAATTGAAATCAAAAGAGTTATTAAAAATTTAATTATCTAGTTAAATGATTCTGCACAAAAAGGTTCTATTTTAATTTTCCCCCAAGTGGTATAAACTTGACGTTCTAGGTAACTTACCCATCCGAGCCGAATTCAACTCCCGAAAGCATGTCCCAACATCGTATATGAGAATATAAATAAAAATGTGCATTTTTGGCAGCCTTTACAAAGTTGTCGGCACGTTTTAATGCTGAGAATTTGAGCAGCTTTTTCGCCTTCTTTTCTTATTTTTTGGTTACTTAATTAGTCATGGCAGGCACATTTGGTAGAGTGGGCAAAGCGGAGTGGGAGGAATAAATTCACTTATAAGGAATGCAAACTGTATTCAGAATCACGGCGAATCGACTGAGTCTGTTCAGATCTTATACAATAGTTTTCCCTCCCCCCGGAGTTTCTTATCACAAATGACACACATTGGAAGCCAGTTCTGTTGGGTTCAAGCTTTTGCAATCCATCGGCGTGCTTCCTGTTCCAAGTCACGATTAACAGAGGGCTGTTCTAGTTCCTCACTCCAAACAAAGTTTTCCAGCAGGCCACAAAAGATCTAACTCATACAAA